CCACAGGGCTGGCAGTAGCTGCGGACCCCATTCTAGGTGTTCCGTCTTAGCTGCTGGCCGGGCGCAATAAACTCTGCTTGCTCAGCCTTTCTGCCTCCCACCTTCCTTTCTTGCTGCCGGTCACAGAAGTTGGGACAAAACAGGGAGGATCGACAGCTCAGACACCCCGCAGCTCCCCAGGGAGGCTCGCAGCCAGCCCCACCTTCTTACCTACCCCTCCCCGCGCCTCCTCAGCAAGCGGATCAGACCGGGGCGACTACATCTCCGTCCCCGCCCCAGTCAGGCCTTGGGTCCTCCGCTTTCCAGGCCTTGGGTCCTCCGCTTTCCGCTGCGTCCAAGTCCGTCCACGGGACTCAAGAATTTAAGCTCAACTATTTGAGCATCCGCAAATCTATGTCGGAGGGCTTTATAAAGCGAAAGGAAGGCGGCTTAGCACTTCATGTGGGCCCTCTGTGGCCACACAACTCGCAAGGCTCCTTTCGCTAAACGTATGCAGCGAGCCGGTACCTAGCCGCAGGGACCAAAACAAGACACGCGCCCACTGCCTTCACCACGGTCCCCATACCACACGGCGCCTGCCCCGCCCCAAGCGCGCCCCCGACGCGCCTTACGCAATGACGTACGCCCTCAACGCGGACGCGAGCACGTCACAGCGCGCAAGCGCAATACGATCCCCGCGCTTTTCGGAGTCCTCTGGTCAGCGGGAGGCGAGCGGGCCCTGGGACGCTGCTGACCTTCGGAGCCAGGTGGCTGGAGGCCGGCGTGGTAGGCCAGGGTGCCCTTCGGAGCCAGGTGGCTGGAGGCCGGCGTGGTAGGCCAGGGTGCTTTGGGGCGCTGAGGAGCCAGCCTGGCCCCGGAGAGCCGCGCGCCGAGTGCCGGAGTCGGGCGCTGGGCTGGGGCTGCTAGTATCCTGGGGCTTTTTGGTTTACGTGCTTTTTTGGGGTAGGGGGCGTCCCGCTGCGCGGGGCAGGCGGAGGTCGGGTCTCCGCTGGGGGCAGCTGGGCCGCGTTAGCACCCGGCTCAGCCCCTGTCTGCCGTGTACCAATCACGGGGTTGACCACCCTCAACCTCTCAAAAGGAAGGTGTTCAGGCGGGGTGTAAGTAAAGTAGCCAAACTCTGACGGCGCTGAGGAAATGAATAAGCCCAGTGAGGTTCATGCGCTCCTGAGTTTAGGGAATCTGTCAGCATGAGTAGAATCAGAATCCAAATCTGGTGCAGGTCTGCCTCTGAGGGTTAGGAAAGGCATCTGGCAGGAGCTTTTACAACTTTTATTCCAATGGATACCTCAGTGTAAATGGGAGAAGAAAATGTACTAGGGAGGTATTACTGCTTGTAGAAAGCGACCGTCTAGTTAGGAAAACAAATGCTACATTCCGAAAATAAGCAGAAGTTATCAAAATAAAGAAAATTAAAATGTAGCTAGATGTGAGTGCGAACTAACCATAATTTTTTGGATCCCGGAAGGGCCATAAAGGTGTACAGTGATTTGGAAAAGGTAATCTGAAACATGCTGTTATTCATCAGTGCTGGATGAACAGTTGTTTGACTTCGTATCCATATTTGTTGGCAAAATAATTGCGTTGCAAAAAGTGAGTCACTGGAGATGAATATTGAAGACAATGGAGGTGGGAAGGAGAGGGGAGGCCCAGTAACTGAAAACACTGAGCTTGGAGGAATTCCAGGAGGGACATGGAGAGTCTCTTGCCAGTAGGCAAGAGAATGTGCCTACTGATGTGAAAGTGTATGGTCCACGTTTTCCAAATCACTCTTTCAATTTCTTGTTTCCAGTATTAAGAGATTAAAATGAGTTAAAATGTATAATGGAAAATAATGAAGTACTCTCAGGAGTTGTCTGTGATAGTTTTGGCTCAGTTATTGACTACAGCTTTCAGCAGCTTAGAATCTTGCTGGATCTTAAGTGTTTTTGGCCTCCCTTCCCCCCAAATATGTACTTACCATGTACAGATTAGTTGTAAGGCATTTTTTGGTGGAAGATGAAAAGCTGTAATTTTTTTAAACTTAGGAATTTTTTTTAAAAAGGTTTATTCACATATGCACACAGAATTGGAGTACAGGCCAGAGGTGCAGGGAGTGAGAGAATTCAGAGGCAGAGTGGGGAGCAGAACAGTGCATTGTACACGGTGGAGGGGAGCAGCAGGTGAGACAGGAGAGGTCTGCTGCTCCTTGTGGGTCAGCTCCCTGGCTGTGGTCTAACTCATGCTGAAGCAGTTGGGGCTAGCTTGGCTTTAACCAGTGGTGCCATCAGGAAGGGCCCAGGAATTTCGTTTTAATTACTGTAACACTGGTTTATAATTCTTACACATTGAAGAAGTACAGCTTTACACCTCAATAAATGTTTATACCATACCATGCCCACCATTAAAGGTCTAATTGCCATGCAACACTGTACAGTCAAACCTCCATTGCACTTGTGCCTTCCACTCCCTTCTTCTCTGGTAATAACCAATCTGTTGTCAGAGTAAAAGGGCGTGTTTTTATCATGTTTTGTTTGTTTCCACAAATGAGTAAAGTCAAAGGATACTTATCTTTCCCTTTTGATATAACAATCATATCAAGGTCACTAGCCCAAAAACGGGCTAGATGCAATTGGTAGGGTTTCATCTTTGTTTTTTCTTTATAGCTGTCCTTATATATTTTTTTATCTATATACACACACATATATACACATATCTTAATCCAGTCACCTGTGCATGAACACTTCGGTTGTTTCCATATCCTGGTAATCATGAATAGTGCTGCAGTGAACATAAGCTTGCATATATCTTATTTAATTAGAATTTTCATATTCTTCAGATAAATAAACAGTAGTGGAATTGCTGGATCATGTGGCAGTTCAATTTTTTTATTTTTTCAGGAACCTTCCAACTACTTTCCATAGTGGCAGTACTGATTTACTTTCCCACCAACAGTGTATGAGGATTCCTTTGTGTATACAACTTTGCCAACACTCTTTTATTGTCTTTTTGATAATAGGCATTCTTACAGGAATGTTGTGATAATCTAGCTGTGTTTTTAATTTGTATTTCTCTATTAAAAAGTGACTGTGAGCATTTTTTCATTTGCCCATGGGGCCATCTGTGTATCTTCTTTGACAAAGTGTCTATTTATTTTTTTCCCCTATTTTTTGATTGGGATGTTGGATTTTGAGTTTTATTTATCCTCTACATATTTTGGATATTAACCTCTTGTCACATGATGTGCATATATCTTCTCCTATTTAGTAGATTGTCTTTTTGTTTTTGTGGTGGTTTCTTTTGCTGTACCACAGATATGGTCCTGTTCCCATGATGTTGGAGTTGAATCCAGCATCATAGACAAAAACTTGTCAGCATACCCCCTGTGTTTTCTTAACATTTTATAGTCAGACATTCAAGTCAGTCATCTGTTTTGCATTAAGTTTTGTGTCTGGTGTAAAGTAGTGGTCTAGTTTTATTTTGCACGTGACTGTCTAGTTTTCCCACCAGCATTCGTCAGGAGACTTTCTTTTCTCTGTTGTTTGCTTTTGATCCCTTTGTTGTAAGATCACTGTCTATATATATGTGTGTTTATTTTTGGGCTTTTCAGTTCTGTTTCATTGATCTGTGTGTCTATTTCTTATTCCAATCCATGCTGTAATGTTGTATTAAGCATAATTCTTGCATTAATGAATCTATATTTACATTAGTTTGAAGGTAAATTTTAAAATACACAAATTCTTGATTTTTACTTTGTTGCAGTACTCTAATTAAAAGTTTTTTTTTGTGGGTTATAGGTAAATTATATACATCTAGCTATACAGTGCTTTATAATTCTGTTAGAATATAAATAAAATTATAAAAATTTTAATGTAAGGGGACTTAATAATTGACAAAGTCTAAAATGAAAGTGCAGACTGTTCAGCTTGTTCTCATACTTCATTTATCATAACAGTCTCACTTTTCGCTACCTCTTGGGAAATTGTGAGATGTTTGGGGATCTCCTGATAGACTGCCTGTAAAGACATGCAGTGTTTGATATCCATTCATAGTTGTGTACATGCTGCTGTACTCTGTAGCAGTAGCATCAAGGAGCATTTTGTACACAGGAAAGCACTCCACACTGAATGAAATTGCTTGTTGTATATATTTTGTACCATTCATAACTCACTCTGTGATCCCAAGTAAGTTCTTCAACTCCCCCAGTCTCAGTTCTAGAATTGTGCAACAGTTTTCAAATTTTTTTTTTTAAAGATTTATTTATTTATGCATACAGAACTGGGTATAGGCCAGAGGTGCAGGGATGGTGAGAGGATTCACCACACACAGAGCGGGGAGCAGAACAGGCAGATAGATGAAGTACACTGCTGAGGGGAGCAGAGGACGGGTCAGGAGAGGTCTGCCACGCCATGTGGATCATCTCTGGGGCAGTCGGGGATCAAACTCATGCTGAAGTGGTTTTAGCTTCTTAGTGCAGTGCTTTAACCCGCTGCGCCACCAGGGAGGGCCCAGTTTTCAAATATTACTATATTCATTGTTTGACTCGATTCTCACAGTGGTTTTTCTCCCTTTACAGATAAATAAACTGAAGGTTCAGTACTCGTAAAAGTCTTGCTTAAATCATTCTCCTATTTTTTTCTTAGACACCAGATTTAAACACCAGGCTTGGGGTTTTTCATTTTGTTTGTCTGCAGTTCTTTTGATGATTATTTTACTTTTCTTTTGTTGATTATTTTTAAATCCTTCCCATTTAAATTTTATGAATGTTTTCCTTGTTTGCAGGGAAAATTTTTATATAAGTAAATCAGTTTAAATCATAAAAGCTTGCAGTTGTGTCTTTAATCTTGTATATCTTTAGTGCCTGAAATCTGGTTAAATAGATAGTCCCTCATAAATTTACCTTACAAATAGAAAGTTCAGTATATTCTTATTCAGATGAGCAGAGATTTAAAAGGTTTGTTTAAAGTATTATATCTGTTTTCTTAATACTGATTCTTCATTTTTATCCTTTGTTTTAGAACTTCAAAATGCAGGCCCTTGGCTCCAGGTCTGTACATCTGAGTGAGTGGCAGAAGAACTACTTTGCAATTACATCTGGCACATGTACATCAGGACAGAAGGCAGATGCATACCGTGCACAGATACTACGAATTCAGTATGCATGGGCAAACTCTGAGATCTCCCAGGCTTGTGCTACCAGACTCTTCAAGAAATATGCAGAGAAATATTCTGCAGTTATTGATTCTGACAATGTTGAAACTGGTCTGAATAACTATGCAGAAAACATTTTAACTTTAGCAAGATTTCAGCAAACTGACAGTGACAAGTGGCAGTCTGGATTGTCAATAGATAATGTCTTCAAGATGAGGAATGTGCAGGAGATGATGCAAACTGGCAAAAAAGTCAAAGATGCTATGTTGGCACCTTCTGATGCCTCAGTAGTGATTCATAAAGAGACTATTGTCTTCGATCTTCCTAAATTTGGTGTGTGTAGTGCTTCTGGAGAGAGTGGTCCATTAAATAACTCAGCTCATGGAACAGAAAAGACCCAAAACCTCCCAGAGAAAAGCCTTTTGATTTGCCCTCAGAATGCATCTGTGGTGACTGACATGCCTAAGTTGTGTCCTGCATTCTCAACATCTTTTGGTGAACCAGCTACAGCAAAATTCTATGCCACTCCATTATTTGGAAGTGTCAAAAAGGAAAATAACAGCTCTCCTAATGCCAACATAGGACTAAATATGTTCTTATCTAATCAGTCTGGTTTTTCTTCAGATTGTGAAAATCTACAGGAAAGGAAAACTTTGTATGGTTCTGGCAACAGTGATGCATTTCCCACCCCACTACAGAGTAAGGCTCTTTGTAAACCAACAGGTAATGGCCAAAGGGAAGAGAACAGCTTGCCTTCTTTTAAAACTGCAAAAGAACAGTTGTGGGTAGATCAGCAAAAAAAATATCACCAACCCCAGCGTGCAGGAGGGTCTTCATACGGTGGTGTAAAAAAGTCTCTGGGAGCTAATCGATCCCGAGGAATATTTGGAAAGTTTGTTCCTCCTATACCTAAGCAAGATGGAGGAGACCAGACTGGAGGAATGCAGTATAAGCCTTATGGCACAGTACCCACAGAACCAGCACATCCAATTGATGAGCGTCTGAAGAACTTAGAGCCAAAGATGATTGAACTTATTATGAATGAAATTATGGATCATGGACCTCCTGTAAATTGGGCAGACATCGCGGGAGTAGAATTTGCCAAAGCCACTATAAAAGAAATAGTTGTGTGGCCCATGATGAGGCCAGATATCTTTACTGGTTTACGAGGTCCCCCTAAAGGAATTCTGCTCTTTGGTCCTCCTGGGACTGGTAAGACTCTGATAGGCAAGTGCATTGCTAGTCAGTCAGGGGCGACATTCTTTAGCATTTCTGCTTCCTCCTTGACTTCTAAGTGGGTAGGTGAGGGAGAGAAAATGGTCCGTGCATTGTTTGCTGTTGCAAGGTGTCATCAGCCAGCTGTAATATTTATTGATGAAATTGATTCACTGTTATCTCAAAGGGGAGATGGTGAGCATGAATCTTCTAGAAGGATAAAAACCGAATTTTTAATTCAGTTAGATGGAGCCACCACCTCTTCTGAAGATCGTATTCTGGTGGTGGGAGCAACCAATCGGCCACAAGAAATCGATGAAGCTGCCAGGAGAAGATTGGTGAAGAGGCTTTATATTCCCCTCCCAGAAGCTTCAGCCAGAAAGCAGATAGTTCATAATCTGATGTCCAAGGAACAGTGTTGCCTCAGGGACGAGGAGATTGAGCTGGTTGTACAAAAGTCTGATGGGTTCTCAGGAGCCGACATGACACAGTTGTGTAGAGAAGCTTCTCTTGGTCCCATTCGCAGTTTACAAACTGCTGACATTGCCACTATAATGCCAGATCAAGTTCGGCCAATAACTTACACTGACTTTGAAAATGCTTTTAGATCTGTGCGACCTAGTGTGTCTTTAAAAGATTTAGAGCTTTATGAAAATTGGAACAAAACTTTTGGTTGTGGAAAGTAAATAGGACACTTGAAACTAAAAGATAGTATTTTTGTAGTACAATCTTTTCCACTTTGTAGCATAGAAAATTATTAATTGTACTTTGTATATTCTGAATTCTGTACCTCAAATAAAATAGAATAACAGAAGCTCAAATTTTACAATTGACTTAGTCTATATTATATAAGTCTGATTTTTCCATTATTACTTGCTTTCTAGGTTTATTCATACAAAACATGAGCGAACTTTTGTTTCTAGGTCTGTAAGTTATATAACTTAGTGAATAGTGAGCTGAAATTGAAATTTAAAAATCTCATTTGTGTCTGAGCATGTATCTGACTTATATACATCTTTTACTGCAGAAACTATTCTGAGCAGCATATAATTCACAGTGTTGGCTAAAACACTGGTTTACATTTGAAACAGCTTTGTTTACTGTTATTTGAACTGATTTAAATCTCACCAAAAGCTAGAGTGAAAAGTATAAGTTTAATTTGTTCTGGATTGTGATATCTGACAATTTCTTCTCTTACCAAGTCTAGCTAGTAAAACCGTGTTTGGAAATAACAAGGTGTAATTTTATGTCAGAGATGTATACATAGAAATGAAATATGACAAATGTTGTGTTTTTCCAGAGGGTAAGTGATGTTTAAAATTAATATTGTTGACACTATTTCACAGTCTCTTTCAAAAATACAGGTTTTCAGATTTTTATAATGTACTTGTTTTATTTAAGAAATAATGCAGGTTCATTTTCCAGATGCTTTATACAGGAGTAAGCAAGTATATACATTACCTTTGTAGCTAGCCTTTTTTCTTTGAAGTACATCATCATTTCCAGTGTTAACATACACTTGCACAACATGTTTGCTTGTGGAACTGCCTGTGATTCCTCGGTATGGATGGACTATTATTTAGTCAGTCTTCTATAATGGGGATTTAGGGCTTGACAGGTTGTTAACCTTTTTTTTTTTTTTTTTTTTTTTTAAGATTTATTTATTCATTCATACAGAGCTGGGG